TCTCTTCATACAATGAGATTTCGAGATACATTGTTAAACATGGTATTGCAACAATGTTAACCCTTTGAGTGCTTGGCCGTTCCCTTCTAGCTACCAAAGGGTTAAGCACTGAGCCGGTTCTTTCCGTGTGCACTTGTGTATAATGTGTTATGCAGTAGTTCTTGTAAAATAACAAATCTTGGCATGGAACTATTAATGTGTGTAGATTGTGCTTAGTAAAGTAATCTCATATATGTGTCTATATGTTCCTCCTGTAGAAGTCTCTTGTTCTTAGTCAATATAGAGTCTATTCAACAGAAAATCCCACGTGTTAAACCCCCACTTCCCCAATACTATGATGTCAAAGAGCGGAGAAGCCAAGTATGTATCTATCTATAGCGGGAGCGAAATTAAATCACTAATTGTAATCCACCCCCATCTTTATTAGCCTATCACTGCCATCTAGGTAGGACAGAATTGATACGGCTAACGCGGAAGTCAAAATTCCACTTTATCAATGCAGCTGAAGAGGGGTCAGTCTCCAGGTGCCTGTGAGAGTCCTGGTTTTTGTCACTCTGCTCCCAAACAGTTTTACAAAAACACGGCTGTCACCCTCAGACTCTTTGCACCATAACCACTACATTAATAGTGTAGTGAGTGCCCCTTTAAACATATATTATAACCTTTCCATAGTCATGGTAATGAGTAATACACTGTGCCATGCACTCTCTTTGTTCGCTGAAAGGGTTAAGAGGATTCTTTAATGCTGCACCGATAAAAAAAATCTCATCTGTTAATGATCTAACCAGTCCAGGTAATAATTTGTTTCCAAATTTTATAACAAGTCAATCATGTCTATTTGTTGCAGGAGCGCTGCATTGTCCCCAGCATAATTTGTACAAACATTGAGAAATAATGCTCAGACATTGTCCTTGTAAACTCAGCCTGGAGCGTTTTTCTGTTGAATAGACTCATCGTGAAATGCTTTCATTTTGATACGTGTTTATATAAGGCTATTAAGTCTTTTTATTGCTATCCCCTGAATGTTCCTCACTCATCTTTTTGATGTCTTTGTATCCTTCGAACAGTGATTATTCGAAAGAATTTACCATGTCAGAATCCGTAACTGTGTCACAAAAAAAAAATTAGGTGTTCTTATGCATTAGATGTACTTTTTGAGTTGTATATGGCATTACGTAAACAAAAAATAAATATTGAGTACTGCCAAGATGCAAATCTGTTGCTGAACTTATTTTACCTTGCGGCTGCCTGGGAATTATGTGACTTGTAGTGACAGTGTTTTGCCGTCATACATATATTGCTGTATAGAAATTTA